GGGGGGGGGGGGGAGTCTATGGGAGGCGCAGCTACTGGCAAAATGCTTGGTCTTTGCATAGCCAGCCTCCCCCAGAGGCAGCCCCACCATACTTCCTGACTACAGCCGAATCAGCCGACTAGGCAGGGGTCAGCTTGCATCCCCCTGATTGTGAGAGGTAGCTATGCTTGCACGGGTCCCATGACTCCCATCATGACTCCCATGTATAGGGGGCAAGAAAAACATGCGTTGGCAACGAAACCAGGCGCCAGTTCTAAAAGGGCAATGAAAGTACCACGGCCGTGGTGTCAGATGTGGAAAGGAAAAGAAAAAAAAGAGCCCAACGGATACTTTTCGACCGAAATTGCCATTTTGAAGTCGGCTCCCGGTTTCTTTGCCGGTTATTAAGTGCCCTCTCTCTGTTCCCCCCCCCGCAAAAGGGCCTTTGAGTGAGCAGAGGGGAGATGGCCGGGCGCAGATAAATCAGAAATTGCTGATTTGGGAAGGCACCACAGCAGCGCAGCCGCGTGGCGAGGCCCTGCAGTGCTGTCACTGCTGTGGCCCGAAGTTGCAGCCGGCACTGGAGTCAAGGCTGACGTCACCATCCCAAGCGACTGCAGCGGCTCATGTAGGCTGTGCTCTAGCTCACAGCGCATGCATGCAGCATTGGAGCTGGCTGTGTAATGGGAGTAGTTGTATTGTGGGCTTTATTGTGGGCTTGTCCAAGTGCGGAAAGGAGTGGACATGTTGCATGCTGGTGTCCTAGTGCTGTTACAGTGCTGTTGCTGCGGTATGCTGCGGATTTGACAGGTCTTTTTGTAAATATGGACGTAGGATAGTGGGAGTAGCGGTGCGCAGGGGAGAAAACAACGAGAGTGTAAGGTACTAACCCGAATAGAATGCCCGGTCATTATCGCTGTATGTGGACTGAAAATTGCACCAGATACGGCTATAATGACCGGGCGTTCTATTCGGGTGACAACGGTAGTAAGGTTGGGAGGGAGTCACATAAGGAATAGGGACCTCCACAGACCATATGGAGAACCAAATGACCGACTGCCAAAGATGAGCGTTTTACTATTGGGGGAAAAAAAAGAGAGAGAGAAAACTAAGGCGCAGTCAGGGTTACAGTTTGCAATGGCATTTCGAACTGCGTTTTAGCAGTTTAGTCAGGGCCCGAGTTTCAAATGCTGATGAAACTCGGGTTGGCCTTTTTTAGCAGTTCAGTGACTTCAGTCAGGCACGTGGCCCCTTTTTTTCTTTTTTCTTTTTAATTGTCTTCCTATCGCGCGGCGAGGCCATGGCCGAGATGTCCCGCCACGCCCGAGGAAAAACAAAGAAAAAAAACGCATCTGGTTGTGTGGCGGGGCCACGGCCGAGATGTCTCCGCCATGCCTGAAGGAGGGGGGGACCCAAAAAAAAAGAGAAAAGAAAAGAAAAAGAAAAGGGGTAACTTCAGCAGAGTCACAAAAACGAGTTATAATTGCACTATATATGGGGCAAGATTCCGTTTGCAATTGCACTTCAGGCACCCTACCCTGGCCAGAAGGCTGGGTTGTGTACATTGCCCGAACGGCAATTCAAGACTGTATCTTGGCCCATAGTGCAATTATAACTCATTTTTGTGACTCCCGCATAGTTCCGCCCCCCCCCAAAAAAACGGACCACGTGCCTGAGTGAACTGCTAAAAAAGGCCTGCCCGAATTTCAACTGCATTTGAAACTGCGGCCCTGACTAAAATAAACTGCTAAAACGCTGTGGCATACTGTGTAGCCACAAGGGCCCTACAGGGCCCGTCCCGGACATTCAGCCTAAAAGCCTAAAACTTAGGGCTTACAGGCCCCG